CAGAGAGGTGACATTCCATGTCCCGAAAGCCAGTTTTGTCAGCCGGGGATCGGACCGCCAGGGCCTCCCTTGGCCGCGACCCGATCCACAAAGCACCGAACCCCTGACATTCCCCCTGCGGGTGGTGGGCCCACCTGGGGACAGTCTCGCGTGCCTCTTTCGGGCTATGCCCGGCTGGGCCCCACGGGCCAAGGCCCGGCCACCAGGCGCTCACCAACGGGCCCCTCCCCCAGGCCTGGCTCCAGGGTGGGGCCCCGGTGACCCTAGTCCGGGCGAGGGAAATGGGACTTTGCTTTTAAACTTTTTCATGGGGTTCTTTTGGACTCATCAAAGCTTACGATAAAGCCAATGAGATACAGCAGCGAAACCACAATATGTTATATTTATATATTTATAAATATATTTATGTACAGTCCTGTATTACAGCATATTTGAGTTATACAGTTCAGTGATTTAATTTCAGTACTGTAACTTGAAAAGCATTTTAAACAGCTGTACTGTATTTTGAAAGGGTCAATAAAATTCAGTAAATAGCGATGCCATCCGTTTTACTACCTTAGATTCATGCAGTAAATATACAAATGTCAATTAGATGGTAATCTGAGACATAAAGAAAAAGAAAAAAATCGGTTATATTTATCATCCGCTTATAGTGATCAATTTCACCCAGACAGACGTGATCATTATAAGCGGATTCCACTGTATTATTAAACATTTTGGTCATCATAATCAGAATAACTGAATACAACCTGTGTTACTTTACTGTTTTCTACATATATGAATGTTAGAATATTATGATAAATATTAATAATAATTTTTAGGGCATATCACCCAGCCCTAGTCAAACCTGATCCTTGGAACAAACAGTGAGGGGGTCTGAGAAAAATCCTAACGACTAAACATACTTCTTACGCCCAGATCGTCTGATCCTCGTGTGTGCCATGCCCCCCTCATTACCTCGTGTGGCTGCCCAATTGTCATCAGCTGTTCCTTGTGCTTTCCTACCCGTCTGGTGTATTTAGTCGGCGTCTGTACCTGTATTCCCTAGTTCTGTCATTGACGTTGTCCGACGTAGTGCCTGGTCCTGTCCCTGTCTGCCCGTCTGTAATCAATAAACCCCGTTTGCCTGTCAGTCCGGCTCAGCTTGCCTGCTCGCCTGCACCGATCGTAACAGTACTGAGCATTTTGTAATGTTGCACCCCATTACAATAATGTTTATTTCAGTGTGATTTGTTTATTAAAATTAGATTTCAGTTTGCGGTACTTTCAATTTGCTGCATTTTTCATGTTATGAATTTATTTAAAGGCAGTTCTAAGGGAATTTTACATAAAAATGGAGCACTGAATAAAAAAAATAATTATATTGAGCTAATTATTAGAATTAGTAAAAAATTATGATAAAATATTTTGCCACCTCACTGAGCTCTAGTTCCAGTACTGAGTAAAGCACTGTATCCCAGTCTGAGATTATTGACAGACTTGAATCTACTCATGCCAACCTTACCATTGTTCACTGTTACCATTGTTCGCTGTTACCATTTTTCCCTGTTACATCACCAAGACGTTATAATCCTTGTCACACAAGTACCTCAAAGTGACCTGACTTGTTTCCAGAATGAGCCATACATATTTGAAAGCACCTGCTTTTGTCATATTATAACCCCCTATTTACTAATTTCCCTGTTTTGCATTAAGTAGTATTTGGATTTGAGTATAAAATCATGTTGGCTGAATTAAAATTCATCCATTGGGGTACTATCACTGTCACATCGTTCACATTTTTCACTGTTGTGTTTAAACCTGATTCAGGTACACCATCAATGACAGGAATCTGGGTCGTCTTGTGGCCAGGATCACCCCAACATACAATACAGAGCTCCAACTCTGGCAGGTGAGAGGAACAGGACATTGTGGATCATGGATAAAACTGCTTTTCTTTGATGGTCGAGATCTGTGTGATGATTTAACTAGCTTTATTAGTATTATTGTTCATAGTGTACTGATGTCACCAAAAATTAGAAACAGCGGTATACATTTAAAATAAAATTAATTATATAAAACAAAAAGTACCAAAGCCAAAAATAAAAAAAGCAAAAAGCACCAGGCTTGGTTTCTACCTTTAGCAGTCTCCAGTTTAGTGAGTGAAGTTCATTGTAAAGTCTAAGATTCAACCGGTGAGGTTTCTCTTTGCCGTTTTTATTCTAGATGCAGAAATTCTTCCAGCAGTATCCTGAGGCAGGGGCGGGGGAGTCCTCCAGACTGCAGGCTGTGGAGACAGTGAGGAGTAACATAGACTGGGTGAAGAGAAACAAGGCTGAGATCAACCATTGGCTCAACAGCAATGTGGCTTATTAACTGATGTACGTCATACATGCTAAACCGACAGATTTCCCATTCTTAATGTATGGAACTTAGTTAAACTAACTTAATTTCTGTTCATACAGTATGTAGTAAATCCGTTCCAGCTTGGTATTTTTTCCCATACACTGAACATAAAGGATTGCCATGATATTCTGAAGTTTAAACCTTTACCTGTGGAGATCCAATTCCATTTGCAACTTTAAAATGTATAAAGTGAGTCTAAGTTAAAGCCATATTCTCATTGCTAACACAGAGTCTGCAATCAGGTTAAAAAAAATAGCAAAATGATATCATTATTTTTGCTCATGATTGATTGTATGAACTTGCATTAGTATGAAATATTTTATCACTTTTTAAAATTAAATAATACAAGTGTGATTTTTTTTATTCTTCCATCATGGACAAAGACCTCATGAGCAGACCTGAAAAGTCTTCAGTCATACATAACTGCCCCCTTACCAACAGATTGTCACAAACTGGTGTTGAACTATCTCTTCTTTAGCTAGAAAACTGCTATTTTTGGCATTTTTTAATGTTTTTAGAAACACTGGCAGCATAAAACAGTGTCAATGCCCAGTTCATATATCTTATGGTAGATTTCTAGCATTTAACTAAATGTACAAGATCTAAAATTAAATTACCTTCACCCGATTCTTTCCTAACGACGAGTGAAACTGACGAATATTGCACCGCCGGGCCGACCGAGGCATCGCAAGCACAACGAAGAAAAACGAGCCTTGTCGTCGGGATAGGACACACTTTCAGTTACAGTGCTGAACAGTAATGTAACAGGCACCCACTAAACTCAGTAGGAAAACACAGGGAGGCCAGACCATCTGGTACACATGCGGTGGGTAATTTACACAATGTTAAATTCATGCGAGGATCGCACAGGGTGCACATAAAACACGGGCAAACACAATAATGAAATACAACTATAATTATAACTACAACAACAATACAACAGGGGCTATTTACAACTGCACGCAGAGCATGAAGGGACATTATAGCCCCGAAGGCGGTACACTATGTAATATCGAAGCCTTGCGAAGCCCTGGAGGCTTTCGCCAAATTGTGCTGGAAATGTGTTTCATAGCTTTTTTTTTTAGTTCAAGTGCGACATCTAGTGGCCATACACAATATTGCAACTTTTTGTCAAATACGTAGTATCGTGTGCTTATACAACTTTTGCAATTTACAAATATTCATATTAATTTATGCATAATGTTATTGTTCTCATATCACAAAATTGTTGTGAATAAAGAATGTTACAAATTATTTGTAATGTCATATTAGTTTAATTTAATAAGCTAATAATTTAATGTCCTATTTATGAATTATGCTTATGTGATATGAACTGTGGGTTTGAGGTATGCGATTGTGTACAACTCGTCAGTCTCACCAGCCTTAGAGAAAATCCTTTCGCAGGGGACAGAGGATATAGATGTGCACAAGTAGTAAATTGCCAGTTTGAATTGGTTGGGAAACTGAATCTTGTGTTTCAATGAGTGGACTGTGTTGGGTTGGTGCTTCTATAATACAATCCATTACAGATTACTGAATACATGCTGTAAAATGTAATTTATGACGTACTCCGTTACATTAACCAAGGTTAGTAACATAATCCAAATACTTGGGATTACCTATCAAATATGAACCTCTCAGTGGCCAGCTAGATTTTGTGGTTCTTTAGGAAAAAAAAGTCACTCACAGAACTCCCACAGAAGGACCCAAAATATAATAAATATGGAAAAGAAACAAATCGAATTCATTTACAATTTATTTTATGTTCAAATTCTTTTAATACGTCAAGTTAAGATTAAATTGTACAATAATTCAAAGTGGATCAATACCCCCATACTTTGACATCGTTGAAGCATGGCACATGTGCTAATCCTCCGTGGGTCCACCTTCTGGTTAAGCTCCAGCGTTGGTTGGACCACGTGTCTGGAAATTGCACAGTTACTTTTTTGCACTAGTACGTGATCTGAACTGTCCCACCCTTTTTCTTGCCCAATTCCAGATATCCTCCAGGTCTGGAACTTGTCCAAGTGATCTTTTTCCAATTAAAGTAAGCATGTAAGCAAATCAGGGCATGTCTCTTATACTGAGTTGGGCTGCACAAGCAATCATGTTGGATGCCCCATCTGTCTACTGTCCACCAATCTGTACACTGAAAATAATAACATATATAGTGAGGGAAATAATTATTTGACCCCCTGCTGAATTCTTAAATTGACCCATTAATAAAGAAATGAGAAGCCTATAACTTGACTGGTAGGTTTATTTTAACAGAATATAAAAGAATAGAAAAGATAGATAGATCAACAAAACAAGCCAGAAAAATCATTATATAACAGTTACAAACCAATTTGTCATTTATCTAGAGAAATAAGTATTTGATCCCTTGCTTTAGTACTTGGTGCCGTAACCATTGTTGGCAAGTACAACTGTCAGATGTTTCTTGTAGTTGGTCACCAGGTTTGCATACAGCTCAGCAGGAATTTTCATCCACTCCTCTTTGCAGATCTCCTCCAAATCTTTAAGGTTTTTAGGCTGTCACTTGGATACACGAAGCTTGAGTTCCCTCCATAGGTTTTCTATGGGATTAAGGTCTGGAGACTGGCTAGGGCACTCCATGACCTTAATCTGCTTCTTCTTGAACCAGCTTAGGGTTGTTGTCTTGCTGGAAGACCCACCCACAATGTATTTTCAGTGCCCTGGCTGATGGAGGGAGGTTCTCTTCCAAGATTTTACACTACATGGCCCCATCCATCTTTCCTTCAATGCAGTGCAGCCGTCCTGTACCCTTGGCAGAAAAACACCCCCAAAGCATAATGCTTCCACCTCCGTGTTTGACAGTAGGGATGGTGATCCTGGGGTTACAGTCAGCATTCTTTTCCCAAGTAGAGTTGATGTCAAACGGTTCAAATAATTTCACCAACAGTTGTCAGTTTCTCACCAAGCTGCTTGCTGATGGTCATGTAGCCCATTCCACCTTTGTCAAGGCCAACAATCTTGTCTCTGACATCCTTAGACAGCTTTTTGGTGTCTCTCATGGTGATAAGATTGAAGATCTAGAAAGGTTAGTGACCAAAGAATACTGCTTAAACAAAGTAATGCCATTAAATGTGAATGCTGGCTTGGTATCTGTTAATGCTTAATTAAGTACTACTTGTGTTGTGTTAATGTATTAATTTCTTGCTGACTTGTGGGGGATCAAATACTTATTTCCCTAGATAAATTACAAATTGATTTGTACCTGTTACATAATGATTTTTTCTTGTTTGTTTTGTTGAAAATCTATCTTCTAATGTTGAAATAAACATACCACTGAAATGATAGACTTCCCATTTCTTTATAAATGGGTGAACTTAGGAATTCAATGGGGGGGTCAAATAATTATTTCCCTCATTGTATTTATGTTGTTACGATCCCCAGTCTAGGGTTAAGGATCCACAGAAAGGTAAGGGAAAGGGAGAGGGGAAGACGAGACAAGCGGGGAACGGGAAAAGGGAAGACAGGAAACAAAGGGATCTTTTTTTGTAGCAAAAAAGCAATAGCGAAAGACAAAGCTTGAGCAAGAACTCAAGCTTGATGTGATCAGTAGGCTTTATCTTCGACCGGAACACAGGGCCAGGGTCAGAGGTCAGAGGGCGGAAGGGGCGTGGCCGGAAACCGGGAGGCGGGCTGAAGCAGCGACTGGTGAGTGGAGCTTGGGGCAGAAGACTCAGGTGTCCTGTACACATCCAAATAGGGATGGGGCCGATCCGATCCAGTATCGGTATCGGGTTCCGATACCAGCTTAATTAACGGATCGGAAATTTCCGATCCAACCTGGAGAAATTTCCGATCCAGAGTTATGTCTACAATGCTGTCTGCTGAAATGACTTCACAAGTGATCCCGGGCTAGGTGACGTGTCTGTGCTCCAATGAGACACTGAGAGAGATGACACGCCTCCTTTCAGGAAATCCTCTGCAGTTTGCAGGTAGCAGTTTAGCATTGAGCGCCATACAACATGTCCGCTGTGTGGAAACATTTTACGGTCGAAACACCGCAAAGTAAGACAGCAACGTGCAATGTTTGCAAAGCCGTTGTTCCGAGAGGTGGAACCTCCGTCGCGACGTTCAACACTACAAATATAATTAAACACCTGAAAAAGCACTGTGTTGCTGCCTAGTGGTGATTTATATCTGTGCTGTTTAATTCATATGACAGGGTTTGTTTCTTTGATGGTGTATATTGCACTAGTATCTAGTAATCCTGTCTTGAAATTTAAATAAATATCCATTTAAACCCTTAAAGTTGCATATTTGTTTTCAGGATGGGATTTCTGCCGTTTTCTGACCTCATTCATAGACTTGCTTGTAGAGAAGTTTATTACAGCCTCATAAAATCAACAATAATGATAATAATCATAGTGATATTAAAGCAAATAGAGCTCTGGTATCGGAATAGTATCGGTATCGGCAGATATCCAAATTCAGGTATCGGAATCGGATCGGAAGTGAAAAAATGTGGATCGGTGCATCCCTACACCCAAAACACTTACGGCACGTAACTCTCTCTCTCTCTCTCTCTCTCTCTCTCTCTCTCTCTCTATATATATATATATATATATATATATATATATATATATACTGTATTTCTAACTAAATCTAACCAAAAGCTTGGTATTTCACTTAGTATAATTATACTTATATCTAAATCACACTAACTACAAACATTTTTCACTAATACTATTGTAGGTCAAATAATAATAAATAAACTGCTCCCTCAAACTAACAATGGCCCAAACACCCAAAGCACCGGAATTTTACAGGGTTTTAAAAAAAAATTTCCCCTCCTCTGGAAAGGTAACATGGTGGACACGTGACTGGTGTTTTGAAACATTTTGTGAACCCCGCTTCAAAATCAGAAGTTTCATGCTACTTCAAAACGGCTCGATCCTGGGAGCCGAAATTGCCATCTCTAGCGACTACACCTCAAGGAGGAGCTCCTACTGACACAAATCACCATTAGGTGTCAGTGTTTCCCACAATCTTTTTGCCTAAAAAGAGAGCAACCCCTTGATGATATCTCCAGATCTCTGGAAATATTTGTAAAACTGAAATGTATGGTTTTATACAAGCGTAACATAACCTGATCAGTTTTATAGCAGTAGCTCTTAAGGATGTAGAATTGAATATGATTTATTATGATTTTTTTTTTGTGATCATAGAGGACATATCATGATTTCCATGAACACCTTCTCTACAAGATTTTTTGTCTTCTTATTTAATTAAATTTTTGTTTTATTTTAATTTGAAAATCTGATTCAATTTCAAGGCTAATTATGTCTATTAGCTGAACTACCATTTGGGACCCTTCAGCTTCTCTCTCTCAGCAAACAAATCCATGATATACTTAAACATTTTTAACGTACCAGTTGTGCTCCAAGTCAGGTCATTAACAGCTCAGAGGGGTTGTTAAGCTGTCCAGCAGCACACCGTCCAAGCCTGAGATATGGCCATTCTCATATTCCATCTGGATATGTGGCCGGGTACACACCGCTCACATAGCATCTGGTAACTCAGCACATGGCTTTCACTGAACTTAGAAGTGTCCCGATGCATGCCAAGCTGTCTAATGTGCTGATTCACGTGCTGTTTTGATGTATATCCCCAGAGTCTAAATTTAATCTCTTGATTCTATCAAGACTACCCTAGTCTAATGTTTAAGAACATCTCCCATTCCAGCTAGCTAACCTTTATGAATGACTTATGCTCAGCAGAGATGCAAGTATTTTTTTTCCTCAAAGTTACTCTTAAAGGGATCCATTCCCATTCTGGGGGAGCCAGACCAGTCTAGCTTGAACATACATGTAGTTTCTCTCCATTTGTCTCAGACAAAAGAGCATATGCTCTATGCTTATTATTACTTTTAAAGGCAAGGAACACCAATGGGCTCAAAAATGGTAACAGATTGTTTCCTATGGTGACACGCCATGCAAGTGATCCAAATAAACCGATGAGGCTCTAAAGAAACTAAAGACTTTTCAGAAGAACCACAAATACTTTTATCTTCTTTTCTGTCTTCTGCTGATGGCCTTTTCCCCAACCTATTGTGACAAATTTTAACTTGGGCATAGCCAAACAAAACCTGTTCTTATTGAAATTATCTGGGCTGTTTATCATTATTTGGTTTTCTGTAATTTACTTGAGTAGCACGAATGCCTCACATTATCTGCCTTCTTTTACTCCTTACATTTCCTGTAATATCTCTATTAGCTACTGTAATATTGCAAAGTGTCAAAGTTATTGTTAAAATCAAATGTAATAGCATGTATGCCATGTTATGCTTTGGTTCATATCTGCAGCACCAACCAATATCATCTCCCAAGGATATAAATATACTTCCCATTGGCACCCACAAGGTTTCTGTTTCTGATCATGTGACTTATGAATACATAATGATAATTCAACATGACAATATATTTTGTTTACC